TAAAAACGCAAGGTTTATAAATCTGGACAGAAATCCGCCATGACTTATGTTACAGTTATTATACAGGGTGGTCCGAATTGTATTCGAGAAACTTCGACAGTATATTCTGTAGAAAAAAATAAGGAAAAAAGCTATAAACTTATGTCCTAAAATGCTTCGTTTCGGAGATTGGGTGTACAGGGTGTATATTCGTTTTTATTTCGATATTTAGCAATAGTTAGTTCAGAAATGATTTGGAAAAAATCTAAATAAAATTGAAACTTCTACACCCTGTATCTCCGAAACGAAGCCCATTTTATGACATACATTTCTACCAACTTTTTTACCTATTTTCATCTGCAGGATATGCTGCCGAAGTTTCTCAAATACAATTCAGAACACCCTAATGAAATACCGTACTATCAAAAAAACGGTGTCAGGTAGGTAGGTATAAATTACGATGATCGATGATATTTCTTATATAATATTATATATAGGAAGCCATGGATCTTAATTTGCAATGGACATGTTTTTTTGTAAAATATCGCTTCAAACATTAACTAAAACAGTTTTTGCTCATTATCTCGAAACAACGTTTTTGGGATAAGACGTGTTTTGTAACTTAAGCCATTCTACATTATTGTCTATTATGTATATTAAAAGAGGGACACCAGTAATATCTGAACATTTAATTTAAATATTAACCCCATTTAAGAATTCCTAATAAAAACGTATTTAACGGTTCTGTACTGTAATAATTCGATAGAGTTGACAAAATGGGATTTCTATTCTAATCAGCAAAACAGAGTTATTTTGTTTTTTGTTATCTAAGAACGCCTATCCTAAAGTGTTTGTGCACAGAATAAAAATTTGTTTCGACTTTAGCAGCTTTTATTCATTTGCTTTTTTCTAGAAAAATTTACATACTTTCGAGTGAGTTCATAAACGTATAAAGAAAACTCCATTTTGTTTGTTAAAATAAAATTTTAGGTCTCTGAATATTTTTGTCTGGTTTTTTTATTTTTGCCTGTTTGAGTAAGATATTCGTTCGTAGTAAAGTAAATAAAAGGATATATTTTCTTATTTGAAACCATATTTGGACAATGTTTTTATTTGAATTATTTTTGTTGCAAAATAAGTTGCAAAACCCGCCTTATCCATTTAAAAAAAATCCTATTGACATAGTGGACGGCGAAATCTACGTAAATATAGTCCCTAACTGCAGCAAAAGTCGCCTATTCCTATACAGGATGTTTCAAAAAACATGTGCCATTTATCGTGGGAAGATTCCTCACGTAAAAATAAGATTTATTTTTCATACCAACATGGGCCCGATTCTGCTTTGTTTCGTAGCTAGAGGGTGTTATAGTCTTAATATTTTTTCGTTTTATTTTAATTTTTTTCCAACTACTTTTAGCGTTTCGAATGAAATTTTGAGGGTAAAAGTTACTATAAATGCGACATATTTTAAAGCTAAACTAATGTCGACATATTCACCAGGGACGTGCATATGGGTTATCACTAGCGATGGGAACTATCGAATGAATTAGACTATCGAATGGTTACTGAATGTATGATTTCAACTATCGAATGGTTTTATTCGAATAAAACCATTCATTCATTTGTATACTAAAGCATATGTGACAACCTCGCCGTGCGACTAAATGGGTATCGTTGAGCCACGACTATCGAATGCTTTTGATAAATGAAATTTAGTAGGTATTTGTTTGATTTTTGTGTGCGTCAGTGCATTATTAGTTCTTCCAAATTTTTATAACTTCACCTTATAAATACTGTTCTATTTTTGCGTTTATTAAAATATTTAAAATACTAAAATAGTAGTTTTTTTTAATTGACGATTGTGTGTGTGCAGGTGTCAAAATTTTTCCGAAAATTTGTGTGATTTTCCGTAGCCCGATCTTTCAATTATTTTATTTTATATGGTATATCTGGTGTATTTTTTAATGGGAAATTTTGAGAAGTAGCAATTTTTAAGAGAGATGAGATGAACTTAGAATTAATTTTAAAAATACATATTTGTATTTTAGATGTTTTAATAATATGAATTAGTTGAATTGGTTGAACTTAATAAGCATATTTAAGTAATGTGGTTAAGTAAATGGTTATCGAACTCAAACTATGGGGTGAGAAAATTAAATTGAAAATTTTACACGTGCCAATTTAAAAAAAAAAAAGTTAACGATGTTTTTTGCGAAGAAATATTTCATTTATTTTTTAAAGTAAATGCCAGTAAAAGTAAATATTATTTTTAAATAGTAATATAAAGTACCTAATATAAATAATTTTGATTTCTAATTTTTTATTTATATTTTTCTTCCATTACACTGCATGTTTAGAAAATTAATAAATGTTTATATTTCAGGATTTTAAAGTTTGTTGTTAATATAACAAATTAGTTCTGTAATTATTATTATTTAATAAACCAACGTTGCCACAAAAAATTTAAAGACTAGATATATTATTTTTAAATAGGATCTAATATAAATAATTTTGACATCTAATTTGTTGTTTATATTTTGCTACTACGTAAAAAAAATGTTTATATTAAATTATTTTAAATTTTGTTGTTAATAGGTATAACAAATTATTACTGTTATTATTATTTTTATTAAACCAGTCTTTGCTTAAAAACATTAAAAATAATTTTCCTACATCCAAAATAACAAGTATTATTGCAGTGTAACAACAGAATATTAATAAAAAAAATGCAAAATATATAGACATACTATCCCTAACTAACTAAAGCCAAACAATAATATTCTTTGCTAATACCAACTAATACCAATATATGGCAATAGCGCCCTTCATAATGTATTTTCTGTGTACATACTAGCGACTAGCACCTCAATAAAAAAAATAATGTGTCCTTATCTTTATATGATTCCGCAAAAAATCAAAGATGCCGGCTTCTTTCATAGCATTGCCACCGACCGCTGTCGGGTTTCTCGGAAAGAAACCTACGTCGCCGGGCGACAACTAAAATCCAGTTAATATTTTATTATAATGGATCCTGACGAATAAATGAATTTCATAAATGAATGAATTTTATAAATGAATGGTTTTTGCTGCCGAATTACTAGAATACAATATTTCAAGGCAGATGACGCATCTATTCGATAATTTTTATTCGAATAGTTTTCAACGAATGTTTTTTTACTAGCTATCGAATTATTCGAATGAATTGCAACTATCGAATGTTTCGATAGTATTCATTCGATAGTTCCCACTACTAGTTATCACTGGAATATTTTTCTAAAAAAGCATGTACGCCACTGACTTTTTTTTCTTTTGTTAGCGAAATAATGTAAGCAGTTTATGCCGATTAAAAGTTGTCTCTTGATATTTTGTCGATGCCGGCCTTCTTCATGAGATAAACGTAATTTTATTAATTTGCCTTGATTCAAGTCTAATAGCAACCTTTAAAAAATGTTAATATCATTAACTTGAGAAAGTTTTAAATAAGTACTCATTGATTCCTCATCAAAAAATAGAAAAAAAATTCTTATATACATGGGTATGGAAATGCATAGTTTTCGAGTTACAGGATATTAAAACTTTTTAAAATTAGGTGTTCTGTAATTAACTTTAAATATTGGTATTTACCAATATTTTTTTATTTGAAATTGCTGTAGTTTGGACTAATAGTAATAAGTAGTAATATTTAATAATAAATTAGGTAAAATATATAATTTATTAATTTTATTATTTGTGATTAATAAAATTGGGTTTATCTCATGAAGGAAGCCGAATTCGACAAAATATCAAGCGATAACTTTTAATTGGCATTAAACGGCCGACACAATTTTGCTATCAAAAGTAAAAAAGTCAGTGGCGCACATGTTTTTTTTTGAAAAATATTCCAGTGATAACCTATATGCACGTCCCTGATGAATTTATCGACACAGCATTAAAATATATAGCATTTACGGTAACTTTTACCATCAGAATTTTATTCAACTTTCTAAAAGTACTTGGAAGAAAATATATAATAAATCAAAAAAATATTAAGGTTTTAGATTTAAATATTAAGATTTTTAGAATCGGACCTATGTTGATCTGAAAAGTAAATCTTGTTTTTACGTGAGGAATCTCCCCACGAGAGATGGCACATGTTTCTTGAAACACCCTGTATAAAATTCACTACAAATTACGTTCTTACTGCAGCAAAATCCGCCTTATCCACTTATATTTGCTTTTTAATGTCATTATTGTTGCAAATCCCGCTTTTTTTTATAGGCCTTTTTTACACAAGTATAATATTTCTACTAACGTCTTATTCATTTCAAATCCTTACATAATTTTTATAAAATAGCATATTTAATATATCAAGTTAGTATGCAAATATCTTAAAAAATGTCTATACCTATGTATAAAAATATCTTGCTGTAGCAAAACCCGCAATAAGCATCATACTGCAACAAAACCCGATATTTTTGTTTTTTTCCCTTTATTTTTTTTTTCTAAAGCAACGAGATACAAAACAATGATCCCACTCAATGGATACTTTTTTTGAAAAATAAGGCTTCCAACCCCCCCATTTGCTAACACAGTTTTTGCATACCTATTATCCCGAAACAAGGTTTTTGTGATAAGACGGGATTTGCAACAGAGCTGCAATAAGTCAGTTTTAAAAAGACTTAAGTCTTAAGTCAATTCTAAAATCAAAATGATTTAAGTCTTATGCCAATTTCAATATAAAATTCAAATGACTTAAGTTTTAAGTCTTTGACTTAAGTCATTTTCTTTCAAGTGAAGTTATTTTTGTAAAGACTTAAATCTCATAAAAGACTTAAATCTTTTAAAAGATTTAAGTTTTTTGTAAAATGACTTCATTTTAATTTAAAGTCATTAAAAAAAAAGATTTAAATCTTTTTTACTGACTTAAGTCATTATTAAATCTTTTCTAAAAAGACTTAAATTTCATAAAAGATTTAAGTCTTATGTAAAAGCCTTAAGTCATTAAAAAAAGGTTTAAATGTATAAAAATTGTTTTTTTCAAGGCCGGATAGTGTGAAGTTCATATTAGAGAAAGCCTTTGAACATAGTGATTTCATTATAACGTCTGGTGGTGTATCAATGGGAGAATATGATCTTCTGAAGCAAGTACTGATTGAAGATTTTAATGGGACTCTTCACTTTGGACGGCTGAACATGAAACCCGGGTAAGTGAGAATATATTTTTTATTACTGTTTACACAACAGACAAAATAAAATAAATAGATAAACTTTATTGTACTTAAAGAAAGAACCTACTCACCAAATCTAAACAGAAATATGGTAGGTAAGTTGCTCTGGATTTATTAATACAATTTTATAAACGAAGATCATAAATGATCATTATAGTAATAATATTATAACATTTCATTTATTTATACTTTTTTATTTAATAATATACAGGGTGCTACAAATTCGAGGTACGAGCATTGGTATCTCGGAAACCGTAATAGATTCGAACATGGTTAAATTAGGACTAATTTGCGCCTTAGGGTGTTCACCAAAATGCCATAAAAAAAAGTTTAAATTTTTTGATAGCATGTTGGCAAACACAGCCTAAGACGCAATTTTGCCCCAATTTAACCATATTCGTAGGGGAAAGTGTCCTAAAATGACATAGCATGTAAAATGGACATACCTCCCATTATTTTGGAACTACTGGAGCCATCTAGCATATAGATGCGGTTTTATGTAGCAAAACGCAATCAAACTTCACGTTGGCGCTCACTTTGGTTTTCGGTTATCACAAGAAGCAGTTAACCTCAAAAAATTGTTTTCACTAACATACAAACTTTTAACGTGCTGTGCTGCAAGTGTGTTGCGTTTACCGTGCTGTGCTGCAAGGGGCGATTTTCAACCACATTTAGTGAGGCTGAAGAAAGAGACTTTGTTGAGCATATATTGTTACTAGAGTCTAGATTGTTTGGGATTACTACTACGGATATAAAAAAACTTGCGTTTGAATTTGCTACTAAAAATCACATTCCAAATAGATTTACGAAAGAGGGCAGCGCTGGCCGAGAGTGGTTGAGAGGATGTCGTAGTCGACATCCTGAAATATCCCTACGGCGCGGCAGCCTGAAGCTGTGTCTGCTGCTAGAGTTATGGCAATTAATATCCTTGAAATGACACTGGAAAAGGAGAAAATTGATGTCGACCGCATTTATAATATGGATGAAAGTAGCATATCCACAGTGCAGAGGCCTCCAAAAATTTTTGCGAAAACGGGAAAGAAACAAGTTGGGTCGATAACTTGCGCTGAGAGTTCAATATACGAGTATAACATGTATCTGCTGCATGAATGGTATAGGAAATTTCGTGCCGCCAGCTCTGATTTTCCGCAGGAAAAATAGAAAGGAGGAGCATCTAGATGCTTTACCTCCAGGGTCCTTAGGATTATTTCACGAAACTGGATGGATGATAGCTGATACTTTTGTTTTGTGGCTGAAGCATTTCCAGAATTTTGTTAAGGCTTGTCTCAAATCAAAAGTTTTATTACTTTTGGATGGGCACTCCAGCCATAAATCACTAAACGCATTAACATTTGCCAAAAACAATGGAATAATTATGTTGTGCTTTCCTGCGCATTGCACACATCGTATGCAGCCGCTCGATGTCTGTTTTTATGGTCCTCTGAAGACATTTTATAATCAGGAATGTGCAATGTGGCTGAAATTGGCGAACTGTTCACTTCTGCTTATGGAAAAGCAGCAACGATAAGAAACGCTACAAGCGGATTTTTGAAAACGGGCATTTGTCCATTCAACCCAAATATTTATATTTATAAATATATATAACATATAAATTATATCTTTCCAGACGATTTCTTCGAGGCGGCTGAGACCACAGATAGGTTGCTAGAGCCAAGCAACATAGAAGAAAAAACATTTAATCGACCAGAAACATCAGTCAGCAATGAAATAGAAGAAAGTGGTGTTCTGAAAGAAACGATGCAACAAGATCAAGATGAAATTAGCAATGAAAAAATTGACCAACCAATCCACCTTTAAAAAAATAATTACCCTGCAGGAAATTTATCCAGTGCCTAAAGCAAGTGGCACTAGAAAAAGGATGACTAGGAAATCAATAACCGGAGTTTTAACAATTACTCCTAATTTGAAAGAACTGAAGAAGAAAGAAGAAAAGAAAATACTGGGAAATGTTCGTCAATGCAAAAGAAACAGAAACAAAAGAGTCAGTTATGTTCCATTACACAAACAGAAAGTGATGAAGAAGATCCGTTTGCAACCGAGGACAGTGAGGATGATCTAGCTTGTCTTTACTGCAATGATTTGTTTAGAAATTCGCGGTCCAGGGAGGCCTGGATTAGTTGTATGAAATGCAAGAATTGGGCACATTGTGAATGTGCCGGAGTGTTCCCGAAACAAAAGAAGTTCATTTGTGAAGTTTGCCAAGATTAGCTTTTTATTTAGTTACTTTCTCTTTCCTTATTTTTGTGTTATGTTGTTATTATCATTTGTTATAAGCATTTGTCATTTTAAACCTCATGCCATGTGTCATTTTACATACATACTTGTTGTAAAATGACATAGTGTAACGTTTTCTTAATTTTATTTTTTCACAAGTTTTTTATAGAGATGGAATATTTTCGTTCAGTTTATTAATAAAGATTATTCAAAGGAATGTGTAACTTTTTTCCCAGTTCGATATTTCGAATGGCTTCTGCAAAAACAGGTCTGAAATAAAAAGTATGTCATTTTAGGATTTTTGGGCCCAAAAAAAGGCATTTATTATAAGGGTGAAATATGTTTAAAATCTTTAATTTTTGAGATATTTAAAGATATTTAAATTTGCATGCTACAATAGAATAGACTATTAACACCCTATACATTACTTTTCAGAATTAATTCATATGCTGAGTGTAAAGGTAGAGAAATAAACTTTACTGAAAAATGGTATTGGTTTCTTAAATTTATACAGGGCTATCAAAAATATCCTTAAAATCGCTATTTTAAGGATATATTTTATATAAAAACTTATTTTATTAAAAACGTATTTTTTTAAATAAATCGAAGCAGATTCAAATGCTCTTTCAAACTATATTAGGGTTTCCTATACCTATCTACCTCAGATTTTGAATAAAAAGCGATTTTTAAATAAAATTGCAATCAAGGTGGCTGGTGTCGCCATGGCAATTTTCTAGTGACAGTTAGTAACTATTTTCAAAGTCGACATTAGTTTATGGACATTATTATTTATAATTTATAACAGTTTACTTAAATTTATCTACAATAGTTTAATAAGTAAGTATTCATTATTTTATCAAGAGAAATAACGCAGTATCTACTGGCGGAACGAATAGATGTTACTAGTGATATTATTTTGTGAGGAAAATTACTTCTTAGCCTCAAGGGCTTATGCTCAAAAGATATTCAAATAGGTATCTTCCTGATAAGCGTTTCTTTGAAAAGATTCTTGTCTTATTTCGCAGAGCTGGTAGTGTGGTTTATAAAAAACCTATTAGGCAGAAACCTGTCGTTGGAAGTGAATAAAATGAATTTGCCGTAATTGGCTATTTTATAGAAAATCCATATATCTACAAGTCGTCGTAAAATAATTCAAAGAACTACTTCTTCGTTTTTCTTGATAGAATAAAATACACATATTTAATAAATATTATTTATTAAACTATTGTAGGTAAATTAAATAAAAGTAAACTGGTATAAATTTAAAGAAGTCCATAAACTAATTTCGATTTTCAGAATAGCTACTAACTGTCACTAGAAACTTACCATGACAACACTAGCCATCTTGATTACAATTTTATTGAAAAATCGCTTTTTATTCAAAATCTGAGTGTTGCATTTGAAATAGTGTTCTAGTGTTGCATTTGAAATAACGAAGTTTTTATGTAAAATAAATATTTAAAATAGACCAGCAATTTCTGATACCCCTGTATACATTTAAGGAAGGAATAACATCTTTCTGTAAAATGTATATCTCTACCTTTAAACTCAGCACAAGAACTAATTCTGAAAAGTAATGTACAGTGTGTTAATAATCTATTCTATTGTAGCATGCAAATTTAAATATCTTTAAATATCTCAAAAACCAAAGATTTTAAACATATTTAACCCTTATAATAAATACCTTTTTTGGGGTCCAAGAATCCAAAAATGAAATAAAATACCGGGTGTTCCATAAGAAAAAATATAACTTTGGTATGGATCTTAGTTCTGAAACACCCTGTACTTTTCAAAATAATTTTAAATTGTGCACATTACCTCCCCACATATACCAATAAAATATTTTGCTTTTACATCTTTCCGTTTTCGTATAATCAACCGAGGCGAATGAGGTGCGCCACCCTGTATAGTATTGACTTTTTGATCAAAGCCGAGTTGTAAGGTGTTTTAACATCAAAGTAAGTAGGCTGGCTTCCAACTTACTCAGATCCTACGAAGCCGTCCAAGTCAACTTTGATAAAACATTTGATACCATCTAAACAGCGTAGAAGTGAACGCATCTATATAGGTATAGATGCGTATATAGAGATATGACAGCATCTGGTTGACTTGATCCAAGGCTTTAGGACCCATTCCCGTATCTAAGTAGCTGTGTAGATAATATACCTTGATATTCATATTACATCAAAGATTTTTAAAACTCATTAACAGGTCTAGAACTAATTCCTCGTAAGTTTCAGCTTTTTTATCTCCTTAAATGTTCCACTATGACAAAAAAAATAGAATAATGATTTTTTTTTGTAATTTTGACAATCAAAAGTGACATTTTTCATACTCCTTTGACGTATTGAAATATGTTCCGCTTCGTATAGTTACGAAATAACTTTATTTTCACAAATATTAATTAAATAAATGATTCGTGACTTTGTCGCATAAAAACAAAAAAGAAGCAATTTGTAGGTAATATTTTACAACATAGGTACACAATTGAAATAATTCAGAAGTTAATATCTCTTTATATAAGGCATAGCTTCACGAAATAAAAGTTTACTACACAGTTACTATTAAATATATCGATATAATATAACTATTTTTGGTAAATACTGTTGCGAGCCGGTGTGGACTCGACCTAACCTCACAATATGGCCGCCCTCGGATGACCTTAACATCGCATAGACACCGCAATGATTCATTCGTTCGAGAAGAATCGAGACCCACTAGAATGGACGCGTACATACGAG